TTATACTTGGAGAAGAGTTATGAAGCTCCTCATTATGCAGTTTTCTCCAGCCTTCTGTCACTTCATCTCTCTTTGGTCCAAATATTCTCTTCAACACCTTGTTCTCAAAGACCCTCAGTCTGCATTCCTTCCATAATGTCAGAGACCACGTTTCACACCCATACAGAGCCACAGGCAAAATTATAGTTTTGTATATTCTAATTTCTATGTTTTTGGACAGCAGACAGGAAGACAAAAGGGTCTGGACTGAATGGTAGCAAGCATTATCTGAGTTCACTCTCTTCTTAATTTCCTCCTGAATCAGGTTTTGATTTGTTATTATTTTTCCCCCCTGGCACTACAGCCCCAGTGGGCCTAGGCCTACCTCCATGAACTCCGTTCATATAATTAGACGGTATAATTACTGTCTTATTTGGATTAATGGAAACGCTTGTTCTTTCACACCATCATTGGACCGTGTACAGAGCTGTTCGAAGATGCTCTGATACTGTCAAAAGGAATTTTCCGTTTATGAGGATTGCTGTGTCATCAGCATATCCTACTGTATAATTCCCATCATTAATAAGTCCGCACAGGAGATCATCGACAACCAGGCACCACAGTAGAGGCGAGAGCATGCCCCCCTGCAGACACCCCAAGGGTTTCTCCTGATAATGTAGCAGCTATGGTTCTGCTTTCCAGCATAGCACTGATCCATCTGCATATTGCAGGCTCTGTGCCATGCTTTCCAGCAGCCTGTTTGATCATATCAAATGAGGTTCTATCGAAAGCTCCCTCTGTATCAAGGAATACTACTAAGGCAATATCCTTGTGTTCGATCGCACTTTCTATGCGTGTTACCACATTGTGTAGTGCAGTTTTGGTAGATTTACCTGTTTGGTAGGCATACTGATTTCTGTGTGGAGGACATGTCCTCAACGCCCCATCCCTGATATGCCAATTTACTAATTTCTCCATCATTTTCAAAAAGAAAGACGACAGGTTGATAGGATGATAAGTCTTAGCATTGGTGTAACCAAGTTTCCCAGGCTTTGGGATAAACGTCACCTTAACTTGCCTCCAGGCCATGGGGATAAATCCATATGCCATGCAGGCTCTATATATGCAGCATAGGTTTGGAACTAAGAGTTCTGCCCCATGCTGCAAAAGTGCCGGTACAATTCCATCTGTTCCCACTGACTCAAATGGTCTAAAGGTATTCAGTGCCCATCTGATTTTTGATTGGTTAATTATGACTTTGGCCAGGTTCCAGTCTGCCCTGTTTGTTCTGCTTTGGCAAGTGCCCAGGTTCTGCTGACCCTGTCCATCATCCAAATTATCAATCAATTTTGAATCAGGAAAGTGAACCCTGAATAATTCGTTCAGTGTCTCCCTTCCTGTTTGAGTATACTGCCCATTAGGCAGCTTAATCATGCTGACCTCATTGGTCGCCTGTTTTTGCCATGATTCTCATGAGTCTGGCACTGCCTGGTACATCCATTGGTCTCCTGTTAGTGACTTCTCCATGAGGATCGCTTGGCTTTCCTTATTTCTTTGTTGTAACAGGTAAGGGCTTCCTTGTAGGTGTCCCACTGCCCTGTTCTTTTAGTTGCATTAAACAGCCTTCTTGTTTTGATTCTAAGCCAACTCAGCTGTTTACTCCACTAAGGCGCTCTCCTTGGTTCACGAGTGGTCCTAGCCAGACAGTTCTGATAAAAGGACGAGATAATAGCCAGTTGCAACTGGTCAACGGACTGATCAGCATTAATTGTGTGTATATTTCACTAGATGGTCTCCAGATTTACCTTTAGGTTGTCTTTGTAATACTCCCAATTGGTTCTCTTAGGATTCCTATAAGTAGCCTGATCTACTGTGTTGTTGCTTATTTGAAAGCATATACACGTATATCTGTGATCCGATAAAGATGGCTCAACAGATACATGCCAATTACTTATCACGTTTCCTATTTTATTGGTCCCTAGTGTCAAGTCGATAACCTCCTGTCTATTGCAAACCACAAAGGTAGGCTCATTACCTTGGTTTAGAATATTAAAGTTCGAACTCACCAACTCACCATGAGACATTCTTCTCTTGGGTTCATGTCAGTGCTACCCCACAATGTGTGGTGCGCATTGGCATCACACCCCATGATGAGCTGCTTTTTCCTAAGATGGCAATATTCAATGATGTTCCTCACTTCTTTGGAAGGTGGTGGTTCATCCGAGTCATATGGAAAGTAGGCTGAAGTGATGATGAGCTCCTCACAGCCTCCGTCCAATGTGTATGTCATCCTCACCGTTGTTGTGTCTCTGGAACAAAACTCCAGCAAGTGTAAAGCATTAATATGATTAATAACATATACGCATGATCTAACATTTTATCCAGGTACAACAGAATAAACTGCTCCCCCTGAATTCGTTAAGCCTCTTATTTGGCCCCTATATATCCAAGGTTCCTGAATAAGTGCTATGTCTACTTTTCCCTCAGCAAGTTGTTGACATAAAATTGCCGTAGCGGCCTTTCTGTGGTGTAGGTTAATTTCAATGAATCGTATGTTGTGTGTATATGTATGTGTTCTATGTGTTAATTCTGTAATGCTGGGAAAGGTGTCCTCCTCCATACCTTCTTCCACAGCCCCTTCTCTTTTATCAGACCTGGTTTCCTCCAAGGGAGGTCCCTGATCTGTTAAGATCGGGTTGATGAGAGGAGGGATTGTCTCCTCATCAGATACTCTCATCCGGTCAACTGATGGAGTGGGTACATCATCCCTCTCCCCCTCAGAGGCCGATTCCGAGGGCATTGAACTGGGCACAGCAACTTCTTTATGCCGCTGTGCCTGAGGATCTTGCAGGACCCTAACAGTTCCCTGTGAGAGGCCTGTATATACCCTATATCCAGTTCCCTTGATAATAGATAGGGAATCCCGGTCTATAAAGAGGATCAGTCTCTGCCCTTTCGGTTCAGATTTCCTATCCAATATCCTCCAACTCTCAGCATGGAGTCTGGATTAAGATTCATGATCCATTTCAGCAGCTCCACAGGATTTTGGGCAACTTTGTCCTTTGCCCTGAAAGCCACCTTCACATATTTTGGGAGGTTCTTGGCATCAGTAATATTCAGCCTAGCCCCTGATTTTAATCTGTGATTATCTGTAGTTCTGATGAGCCACTGTCCAGACTGTTGGTTGGGACATGTATATATTAATACACCTCCCTCCAGTCTGTATGATTTCAGGTGTGGTAGTTCTCCCAAAGGAGTCCTACGTAATGCTTGTCCCAGTTCCACCATAATGGAGTCCTGGTCTCCCTCTGTTAGCTTGTCTTCAGGATACATTTCCTTGAAGATAGCTACCTTTATATTGGTCAGAGCCTCCTTGTAAGTCCCTGGTCCCTTAGCATCCCTGGGCCTTTTCGGAGCTCTGGCCATTTCTATAGGGGTACTGCCCTCCAACCTAGTGCATCCAGACAAGGCCTTCTTCGCTAGACAGGGTCCACCTACTCCAGAGACTAGGTGTCCCAGTCCTCCTGCTGCAGGTGTGCTAGAAGTGCTAGCTCCCTGCACTGGTATGTCAGTACTACTGACTCCCAAGAAAGTACTTTTTTATTTTACCTCAGGCAGGTTTCGAACCACTGGTTCATCCCTTCCTATGGCTGAAGTTTCAACAACAGGTACGCTGTTTGCAACTGGGCCCATTAATGGTTCACCAGAGCTGCCAGCCCCCTGCTGAAGCATTTTTCGTAGGGATCCCCTTGGAGGGGTTTCCCTCTTCAGTTTAAGGTCTTTACCAAGGGGGCTCCCTCTTCAGTTTAAGGTCTTTACCACCAGTTTTTGATTTGGTACCTTTCATTTTGGTCCCATGAATCATGGGAATTTAAAAGGTCACCACCCACAGCGCCCCATACGGGTGGAAGGCATAAATACAGTGGGGTGCTGCCTTGTGGCCAGGGGGGATTGTTCAAGACACTGGCTAATTACCACCCCAGTGCCATGCAGCCCTCAGCATGATGCCTCACACCTTGGCTTAGGTGGTTTGGTCGTGTTGTGAATGAAACCCTCGCAAGCCTCCAGGACCAAGAGTGCCTGTTTGGGGGGAGAAGGATATCCCAGATTATTAATGGGAGTGCGATACCAGCTAGTCATGAGGTTGCGACCAGGGAAACCTGCATGAGAGAGTCGCCCGTGGGGCTGGCCTATGAGCTCCCCCATTCCCACCCCTCCACATGGGTTGGTCAAACCATTTTAGAGTGTTGAGCTCTAAGACTTGCAGCACCTTATCGGTACTCTAGGGAGATAACTCAAGTAGCCGAAGCTACCCCCACATGAGTGCTCTCCTGCATTCATCCCAGGTAGACCATAGTGATACCCAAGAGTCATTATACCGCCACGTGGGAGGCTCCGGTCATAATGTCATTGTCCTTTATGGGAACTTAGCTGCCAGTCCCGGTAGGTAATACTAATCCAGACCCCGAGACTGTCGTTGCCCAGCAGGACCATGAGGAGGTGTCCCAAAGCTGTGTCCCAACACATCCCTGGTCCATGATGCGTCCCCACCAAAGACACAGCCATAGTTCGGCCAACCTCATTGAGGATGGCGTCATTACTACCTGTAACATATGACCTAAGAAAGTCACAGTTACCCCACTAGCTGGAAGGATTAGGTAAATTGAAAAAATCCAGTGACCTCATAGGGATTCGATCCTGTGACCTTCCGGCTTGTAGCATAGTGCCTCAACCAACTACACTACCACGTGCCTCAGCAGTAAACAATGTATTGTTAGAATTATGACCTTCTGTGAAGTAATGCCATGCATTTTGGTGAGTAGGCACCAACTTTCCTGTAAAATGTTAACTTTCTACCAAACAACACTAAGTCAATTTCCAAAAGACTGTAACCTTGATACTCATTGCTGTGAGTACCACAAATGTTACATATTCTTAAAACCTGAGGGACACATCAGGCATTTACTTTTTATGCCATATCTGTACACTCTTTGCTCTGCTGACATGTAGGTCTGTTGCAGCTGGATTTGTGTCAGGCCAATCTGTGGGCAGTGATATAATACCAGAAGAGACTGTGAGTCGCTTGAGTCCCAATCCTCCACGAGCTGACCACAGCCTGCCTGACACTGGTCATGAGATTATCATACAAGTTTCAGATGCTGAAACTGACTCCAGTAAAGGTAAAGATTAATGTGTATGCTTGCATGTTTGTATGTATGCATCAGATTTGTTATACTGAACATTTAAATAATAGCCAGTTTCTATCATGTGTGTGGAAATTCCAGTGTACCATTGCAAGGATATAAAGAGGGGAATGACAGAAAAGTAAGACAGTTGGGAAGGAGATAAAGATATGAAAAGGATAGAGGAATGGAAAAATTATGTTGACAATTGTTCTAATGTGAAGGAGATGGAAGAATGGAGTGGATAATGACTGTTGAGAGGATGGACAAATAAATGGGACAGTCAGACAATATGGGAACTAAGGAGAAAAGGAGATAGAAGTGTAAAATGAATGGAGGAAAGGAAGGGGAAAAAGTTTTCTATACTATTTCTGACAGACCATGAGTAGATCTTATGTATGAATTCGTTTTTTACACTGTTATACATTTCTCCCTCTAGTTCTCTGCTTCTCTGATCTGGTTGTTGGGCGATTGTAACCAGACTTTTATATTGCAAAAGGGATAGGCTGTGTTATTACTTTGGAACTATTTAATTCATAATACCAATATTGTGTGGGTATGGCAGTAAATGATAGGAAATTGATCTAACTAACTTCATGGAGTTGAGCCCTTCTTGAGGAGCTGCCAGTTGTGCAGATGTTCAAGAACTTGCCAACGTTTTGTGGAACACAAAGGTTCATTACCATGTTGACAAGAGCCCACCACCGGTCCCTGTCCTGAGCAAGATCATTCCAGCCCATATCACCCTATCCTATTTTTCTAAGATTCATTTTAATATTATCTACCCAGCTATGTGTTGGTTTTCCTAGCGGTCTCTTTCCTTCTGGCTTTTCCACCAGTACCCTATATGCATTCCTCTTCTTCCCCATGCCTGCTACAAGCCCTGCCCATCTCATCCTCCTTGACTTCATCATTCTAATTATACTTGGAGAAGAATACAAATTATGAAGCTCCGCATTATGCAGTTTTCTCTAACCTCCCATCACTTCATCTCTCTACAGTCCAAATATTCTCCTCAGCACCCTGTTCTCAAACACCCTCAGTTTATGTACCTCCCTTAATGTCAGAGACAAAGTTCCACACCCATACAGAACCACAGGCAGAATTATACTTTTGTATATTCTAGTTTTTATGCTTTTAGACAGCAGACAAAAAGTTCTGGACTGAATGGTAGCAATCATCCAGCAGAAATATATATATGTAAAAGACATGATAAATAAACATTCTCATATATTGCTGTGATTTGTTTTAAGAGAAACCAAACCTAAGAGTGGACGTTTTCTCTGGTAACCAGCCATAAGACAAAATAAAAATTAAATTGACCGGTTTTATTGCTGATATTATGGGTTCAGCACCTATATTCTGCACACTTCAACTATAAATGAGTTAACAAACACTGAAGTGAAGTCATGGCATGGAAATCAGTTTGCTGTGGAAGGCGAACCAATTAATTGGTCCACACTCTAACATTTGTGTTACCCAGATATCTGACACAGTCCCACCACCACAACCACACAAGGCCACTCACCGTGCTCGGTTTGACCTGTGGCACTGCCTTCCATAATTTCCATTGTTACTCTTAGACCATCCCTCCTTTTCCTGCCCAACCCCTCAATTAACTGTTTGAGATGAAGAAAAAAAGAATGAAAACCATTCACATGCGTTCAAATTTTTAAAATGTTTCATACTATGAAACAGAAGTAAGGATCATAGGTGCATTTATTGTGTACAAACTAAATAGTCTATGACCAATAATTGAGATTTCACTGTAGTTTGTAAGCAGTGCTTTCTTTTACAGGCGTATTTTCTGGTGCTGTCACATTTGGTTTTAGTCTCAAGGTTGAAACATACAGCACACCAGTAGATGTGTGAATTTTGACAATTTTGCTGGTAAGCACACTGGTGCACACTGGCTACAGAAAGCCTCAGGTGTGATAAATTATGTTTATTTCAGACTTTGTTATAATAATAAAGAAATAATTTATTTTTGAACTTTGACTTTTATTTCCTCTGTTCAATTAGATAAATCTTTAGTTCGACAGCCAAGCACTACAGAGTACCTTCCAGGCATGTTACATGCAGCATCACCAGCTGGGTTATTGCCACAGTTTCCGTCATGGTCGTTAGTCTGTTTGGGACCATCATCACTCTACTCTCATAACTTGGGACTCCAGGACCAGCAACAGGCTGGCTTATTGGGCGGCTCAGCCTACCTCTTACCCTGGGATGTTACTGTCAGGCTGGAGCATCACAGGTATTGCATGAACAGCTTGATGTGCTGGAGCTGAACATCTTGAACAAAAGCAACTGTGGTCTACATGTCAGAACCTACACTAATAATTCTTGTAAAAGTCTATATCCATTTTCCACCTATTTTATGTTCTTTAGGAAAGTAAGTAGGCATATGAGATCATTATTCTATCTGTCTTTGTGTCAGTGGATAGCATAGTTGGTATAGCGACTGGCTACAGGCTGGACGACTGAGGTGTCTGAGTTTGAGTCCTGATGGTGTCATGAATTTTCTCTTCACATCACCCAGACCAGCTCTGGGGCCCATCCAGACTCCTATCTAATGGGTGCTGAGGATTCTTTCCCCAGGGGTAAAGCAGCAGGGGCATGAATCTGACCACTCACCTCTAACTAGTACAGTGGTCAAAAAAATGTTGATCTCTAAATCCACACCCCCATACTCCTCCATGGTGTAGTGCCTAATTAGTTAAGCACAGAGGCAACTTTACCTTTACCTTTGTGTCAGTTTCTATCCTCCCATTTCATCTTTGGCAATAGTTGGCTGATTTTCATGGGATTTGGTACAGACATTATGCCTTTAGACACAGCCTTATTTACATTCTTTTCAGTTTCCAACAGTTAGTAATAACAACATTGCAGCAGATTATTGACCTTGTGAAGTCAAATGATCACCTAATTAATGTTCCTGAAATTGTAGATCTTTGAATAATATGCAGGTTTTCTGTAGGTAATTTGGTTTTTAGGATGTGAAATAACAGCATTGGCAATATGAACATTTTTGTTAGCTTTTGGTTTATGTCAGTGAGGCAGGTATGATTTGGTATGGAGATGGATCATACACATAATTACACATTATACATGAAATGTTGTTTGTAAATTAGCAGTTACAGTCATGGTGATGGTATAAAGCTTTGAGGTTAGAGTTGATAAATGTAACATAGAATCTGTAGGAGAATACACTTTCCAAGTTCTGCCTGGAATTCCATGTTTAGACACATGTCTGTGCATATCAAGCATACCGCAATTTCCTGAAGCCAACATTTATTGTAGTAAGATATGTGTTTTGCATCTTGTATTTTTTTTTTTCTGAAAAATGATTTCCAAATGTTTAGTTGGACATTGAATGTACATAAACATCACATTGATATTTGTTAAATGTTCTACAATGTTCTAATCTTCCATTCCCATTACTTACATTCTTAAGCATACCTAAGCATACCATATCCATGCTGCAATGGTAATCAGGGGCATCATTGCATGAAGTAATGCATGCAAGTGGGATAAAGGGGCATAGGCTGCAGAGTAGTTTGATTGGCATAAGTCGGTATTTCTGTAATTATAATTTTGGCAATAATCATTTTCATGTTCAGAGATCGAGGAAGTGGGTGGCCAACTGTTGGTGATCAGTATGCCTCAAGGGGAAAAATGCAAGTATCCAGTCAGCACTCGGGTACTGTCTTGCGTGGTCGCAAAGGAAAAGGAGGAAATAAAGGTATTGTTTAATGTTTCTAAAGTTTAGTATATATACATTTCTAATCTCCTCCTCCTCCTCTTCTTTAGCTTTATTTCCATTTTGTACAAGTCAATAGATGAAATGTCTGAAATTTGTTCTTCCTCTCTGAACCTCTCCTTTTCAATTTCTTGCCAGCTGTTTCCTCTCTTTTTGATATATTTTCATATCAGGCCAAATCGTCTTGTCCTGGGTCATCCCATGGATCTGTTTTTGTAGAATTTAATGTTGGGGTGATGCCATAGGAGCTGAGAAAACCCAACAGAAACTTCAAGAATGATTGCAAATGGAGATCCAGTGATGCTGTGAAAGACCCGGTGAGTGGACAGTGTTTGCATGGCAAACAGCCTCACAGAATGTGAATATTTTACATAATGAAGTTAAAGTATTCTGTATTATTGTTCTGTACTTTCAATGAGATATGATTATAATTTAATGTATTTGAATATAATTATGTCCTCTGTGATAAAGTTATTCCACTCCCAGGAAGGCATTTGGAATGGTCTGTATTCCCAGATCTCACTGCAGGAGAGAATTTGGTGACAAGAGTTTGTGCTGTAGCTGCCTGTATTCCTGGAGGATGCATCGCCAATAACCATTTCACAGTTTTCTGCATGAGCTCCATACATGCTGATGGAGGAGAACTGGCAGATATGCTTGCCAGGGATTCCCAAAGTCTTATCTTTGGTATGCACAGGACTTTTATATGTGAGCAGAAAATTCCACACATCAACGTATCCTTGAATTTGACTCAAAATCTTCTGAATGGAAGTCCAGCATCTCATTGGGAAGTTGGAAGGAGCTGAAGTAATTTCAGAATGTGGGGAAAACATTTGGTGATGTCTGCACATTGGGCTCTAACTAACTGAGAAACTCCTTGGAGCAGAGACCTTGAGAAACTGATCGCCATCCATCTAGTCAAGAATGTTTTTTCTATTAAGGAACCCGACAACTCATTGTCATGTTTATGTGAGGCTACTGCTGGCCTCTATAGTGAGATAAATTCATCCAGTCCACTTATGTCCTCTCTGTTTCTTTAAAATCCATTTTAATATTATCCTCCCATCACTGTGTTCTTGTTATCCTTTATTCCTTATCTTCAGAATAAATTGTTTGATACAGAAATATGAGAAAGAAATGACAGAGCATTGAAAGATATTTGGGTGACCTGTACTGCATTTGCTACACATCTGTGTTAGAATGGTGGGTACAGGCACAACAGTGGTTCACAGACATGAGAGATAGGATACATTTTGCTCTTTCTACAGTTTGTAACAGAGGGGAACTAGTGGTGTCGGAGAAGGCCCTTCGCCCACTGCTGCAATGCAACTGCAACTTGGCTACAACTCAACTGAAATGAAATGAAACTAAACTCAAACACAATCTCAGCTTCGTCCACCAATGCAACTCTTTTCAAACAGTTTAACTTGCAATGTCGAGTAGTTCAGGAGAAAGTGTTGTGCTTGTATATTGGTATATAAAAAATGTTCACAAAAAGAAATGCAAATGGTGGACTCATCCTTACATAACTAAGAATACCAAAATGCAAGCGTTCATAGCGGCACAAGAATTAAAAAAAATACAAGAAGAAATTTCAATCTTATTACAGAATGTCGAGACATCTGTTTATAGAGTTAGTGGAAATTGTTTGACCTTACATACAAAAAAAGAAATGAATGATTTTCTGGGGTCATCTTCCTTGTCTTTATTTGTCCGCTTGTTGCAATATGCAGTGGAGGTTTTTAACATCAGCCATATCCTGTTTTCTTTTCATAGTACTCAGAGCCCCACTGCCAACATTCATTTTCATCTTCACCTCTTGTTCATCATCTTCATGATCTACGAGGAGCGTTCTGTACATAATGCCTCCTATTTTTTTAATAGTTAAATAGAGCAAGATTTCAGCTACTTACAGTTATTTTTCCACATAATCACCACCATTTGTTATGCACTTTTGCCAGCGATGAACAAGAGCCTCTATGCTGTGCCCATAAAAGTCTGCACCAGCAGAGGCTAGCCACTTTCTTACAGCTGCAATGACAGCATCATTGTCTGGAAAATGTTGCCCACATAGTCCATCTTTCATAGGCCCAAAGAGATGGAAGTCTGAAGGTGCTAAATCGGGGCTATAATGTGGATGTGGTAGGACAGTCCAACCAAACTTTGAGTGTGGGCGGTGGTTGCCGAACTGGTATGGGGGTCTACCGTTATCATGTTGCAAGCAAAAGGTTGTCTGCTGCTCTGGCCTGACTTGGGAAATGCTGGCTTTCAGCTTAGTCAGCGTCATCTTGTAGCGTTCAGAATTGACAGTCTCACCAGGCTCCAGGATATACAAAAAAAATCACACCCCGCCTATCCCAAAAGACCATGCTTATCACTTTCCCTGCCGATGGCTGTGTCTTCAACTTCTGTTTTCTTGGGGAATCCAGATGCCGCCACTCCATGGACTGTCTTTTGGATTCCGGCTCGTAGTGGTGACACCACGTCTCATCTCTGGTGACGATGCTGTCCAGAAACTTGTCACGTTCAGCCTCAAACTGGTGCAACAGGTCCTGACAGACTTCTATTCGATGAGTTTTGTGGTCCTGTGTAAGCATCCGCGGGACCCACCTGGAACAAACTTTGAGATAATCCAGCTTCTCCAACATCGTTTCCAATGCATTACAGCCAATATTAAGCTGTGCACACAGTTCCCTGGTCATTATCTGCTGATCTGTATGGATGAGCTGATCAAGGCGCTGTTCATTGTGAGGAGTGGCAGCTGAGCATGGATGCCCAGGGCCTGGCTTGTCGTGCACTTCACTTTCGCCACTGTTGAAATGCACTACCCACCACCTCACTGTGCTGACATCCACTGTATCATCTCTGTACACCTTTATCAAGCGTCACTGGATGTCAATGGCTGCAATTTGTTCAGCAGTGAGAAATTCAATCACACATAGCTGCTTCGTACGCACCTCTATGTCAGATGCCAATTTGGTAGACTGCTCTGCTGTCACTATCTGTCCCACAACAACCAAACTAACAGTACATGGGCGGGAAGGTTCAACCTTTACTACAACACCACCAACATCCAGCTCAGATGTTACAGATAACACAAAAAAATAAGAGGCATTATATACAGAATGCCCTTCGTATATTGCTGCCATCATTACCAGTTTCAAAATTCTCAATTTCAGTATTTTGCTTTTCAATTGATGCAGGAGAGGGTACATTACCAGAAACATCCAATGTTGCAAGTTTCAAAAATGGAATAACGAACTGCATCATATAATTTAAATAATACAGTTTTTTCCTTTTTCCACCATTCGAACCTAATTTTAGATGTCTCGTGAAAACAGTCATGATGTTCCTCCACTTTTTTCTGTTTCCCACCAAAAAATATAATAAAATTATAACTAGTATCACCCAATCTTATTTAAAAGAAATTAACTTCTTGATTTCAGGTATGGTTTTACTGTCTGCTATACGTTGTAAAAATGTAATGTCTATTAATATCATAATTCATGGTGTCTGCAGTCTGCACAGTTTTATTCGGAAAAGGGAAGGTAAACCCTACTTCACTCACTATAATGATAAAAAAGAGAATTCCAGTGAACTGCCTTTCATTAATGTACCAGTAGAGAACAACGTAACAATAGATGAAAGATCAAATTCTCAACAGTTAAGGGATTATTTATCGTATTATTTCCTCAATCCACAAGCAGCTGTACATTGGCAATGGCAGTATTGTATAAATGAACAAATTTTCTGTTTTGTATGAAATACTTATTCTAATACAATAGAATAAAATCATTTAAAAGAAAACTTACCTTCTTCATTTACTTCTTTCCCTACTTCCACCCAAGCTTTATCGACTACATCTTTCCTTGAATACTCAGATAATTTATAGTTGTATAGATAAGGATATTTTTCCACAGCCTGCACAAGTTTAATACAAAAATCTTGCTCTGACATCGTGTGTGTTGCTTGACAGTTGCGTTCAAACTGACACGTTCAGTTGCAAAGCAGCTTGTTTCTGATTGGTTATCTTCGGGTCGGGTTGCAGTTTCATTGGTGGGAGAGATTCATATTATTAACAGGTCAGACTATTACACAACTCAAAAACAACTAATTTGTCACCATTTTTAGTCAAGCTGCAATTGCATTGTGGCAGTGGATGAAGGGCCTAAGTCTCAGGACTCAGTGTGTTCTGAATTGAATCCCCAGTCACATCTACATGCAGTTTTCTCTGGTCACAGATTGAAACCTTCACCTCTACCAAAGATGAAACTGTAAAAATATAAAGAATACAATGGAGGCAAGATAGCCCAGTGAGAAATGGCACCTCCTTCAGGACAAAATGAAGGAAGAGTAACAAACTGCCCTTTGCAGGGCACAGGAGGAGGTTCACATGGTGTCAAAACCGAGAGCACAATATGAACCTTCATGAAGACCTCAACTTACATAGTTTAGAAAGTGATTTAACATTTCCATGTTTATATAACCTTGACCTTGCTCATATGCAGTGATTAACAAATTGCAATAAGAAACAGCATGTTAGCACCAAATATTTCATATTTCAGATCTGTCCGAATTTGTGGTGAAGATTTTTGTGGGTGTGGAATATGAGTGTCCTCGAGGTCATCGTTTCATGTGTTCTGCTCCAGGCAAAGTCTTAAAGACAACTGGTTCTGGATTGGTCAAGGATAATGGCAACAAAGTGACCAGCAATGACATGCCATTGTATTTCCCTTGTCCCTGCAGGTGAGACATGACATATATCATAACCATGAACTGAGAAACATTGTCATGTTGATTTTTATATGTTGTTTGCCCAAAATTCATAAAATGGGTTTATATGTCCATCCAGCAACACTTTTATCTTTGAAACTACTAGATGGAGTTTGATGAAATTTTATACTGGTATCTAGGTATGCTAAAAGTTTTCAGGCAAATGTGATTTTAGTTTGCAGTAGTCCAACATAACTTACTTAACTAACTTCATGGAGCATATTCTCATTCAGTATTAACATCCATAAAGTAGGATAAAGTTGGAATCAGGAGTCCTTGAAATCCTGATAATTGGACTCCTACTCAAGAATTTCTCTGCGTTGTAACCGTTCATTCAAATTGGTGGACTATTCTGCATTAATTAAATCTGTATCAAGTTAAGATTACAAAATTACAAACAAAGAGATCCGGCAGATAGCCAGCTCTTACACGCAGAAGGGACATAGTTCAAGTTTTGCTATGTGGACAGGAAGTAATATCTGGTACTTTCCTGGATTTCTGGCAGTTTCAGCAAAGTCAGAAAGTCTTTGAGAATTTGAGGGCTGACAGCTCGGAACAGCGATAACTTAAAAGTGGGACAGCTGGAGCCTCATCCCCTGATCATAATGCATCAAGGGGCTGTCAACCTTAGCGTCAGGTCAGCATCTGCCAGAATCACATAGCAAAGCAACATGATTGGAAATTCAAAATTTAGGGAACCTCCTAGTTTGAAACTTTAACCAATGGCAGAAGTGGAGGAGTGGATTTCTCCTGGAGTCTGGGGTTCGTGGACCTCAGGATTCAGAGAGAGTGCATTCCACCTCGAGGAGTCATCCAACTTTCGGCAAAGTCAGACACAAAATTACGACTACATCCGTTCCGTAAAAGTTTTATAAGTAAAGTTCTAAATAAGTGTACTAATAGATTCATTTGTATTCAGTAAGCTAAAAAAATGATTACTAAGTGCAACGGTCTAAAGAGGTGTGTGTGATTGTAGTGAAAGATTCTTCCTGCCCTGTCCGAGCCAGACCCGGGATATGAACTCAGCTCTACAAATTACCGAACAGAACCCAGATACTCCCGTCTTTACCTGCTCTCGCGTACCAGCTCCAACAACCCCAATTCTCCTCCCTTCCCACCTAACTTCTCAACATCCACGAGAAGAGGGAGGATGGTGATAAATGGAGCACAACGTAGGGTCAAGGAGGATGGCAACAGCGTGGCGCCCAATGTAAAGGGCCCAAAGAAGTGAGCGGCAACAGCCTTTTTATGGAATATGAAGATTTATTACCGAGTTTACAGGATCCCACCTCCACTCTTTATTCTGAAGCAGATGAATTCCACCTGAACCTTCCCACACCATTTCTTTGAGATCCATTTTTGTATTATCCTGGTAACTTCTAGATCTTTCAGGTATACTCTTCCCTTTAGATTTGTGACCAAAATTTTATATGCATTTCAGATTTCTCCCATGTATACTACATACCTTGCCCATCTCATCCACCTTGATTTCATCATCCTAGTAAAATTTTGTGAGGAGTACAAATTTATGATGTTCTCATTATAATAATTTTTCTCAGCCTTCTGTTACTACTGCTGTCAGGTTCAAATATTGTCTTTAGCTTCCTGATATCAAACATCCTCTGTCTCTTTTCTTCTTGTATCATGGTGATGGTGCAAAACTTTGAGGTTATGTCGAACAAATTTTATATATTACAAATGATAAAAGAGTTCCATCCAGTGTGACTGTTGAAGCTTTTACTACTTCACTTCTTAGCACCCTAACATGTTTCGGTCTCTATAGACCATCACTGGAGGGTACATCAATACTTATAGAGACTACTATTACATTGGGTGTTTTGATTTTTAAAGTACATAAATATAAACTTTATACAAAATGCAAATTTCTTGNCAGTAAAAACAACACAGCACACTACGAACAAACATAGGACAACAACAAGAACTACCTTCCCAAGAAAGACAGGTGGCACAAGTTCTGCCCCGTCAAGAAAAGCGAAAGGACAAGGGACACGAACCTATTCGGTTAAAGAATTTTAACTTAAATAACAAAAAGTTTTTAATAGAACTTCAGTGCATCAAGGACAGTTGCTGTAGTTGTAAGAAATTTGGATTTTGTATAAAGTGTATGTTACAAATATTGTATATTTATGTATTTTAAAAATCCAAACACCCAATGTAATAGTAGTTTCTAAAAGTATTGATGTTCCCTCCGATGATGGTCTATAGAGACCGAAACGTGTTAGGGTGCTAAGTAGTGAAGTAGTGAAAGCTTCAATAGTCACACTGGACAGAATTGTTTTATCATTTGTAATATTGTTAGCATCATGGACCAGAATGAAACAAATCAGATTTTATATAGTCAGAATCTGTACTCAAGTTATAAATTCTTCCCACAACAATAACATGAACAACCACAAAAATAATTTGTGATGTCCAGCTTTGTCAGCCCTCAGAAGTGCTATGTGTTACAAAATTAATCTCAGTCAAGTCCTAGCAGTAGCCTCTTGGATGCCACCAGAGGTTCTGAGGAAGGGAATGAACCCTGGGAAGCCCAACTCAGTTACTGTCAACCCATCAGGGCATACAGATAGTCCTAAATGCAAACATGAACCCAGTTTCATTGGAAAATATTTCAGTTCTCCCTAAGGGGTCAGAGTAAAGCCATATACATCTTCATGAAGAGAATGACAAGTTGAATGTCTGAAAGAAATACAATGTTGCAAATTGCATACAGACTACATAATATCAATGGGTAGTTGCCTACCCCCTTTCTTCAGTAAATCCAAGACAAACTTGGTGTGGATATATATATATAAAAAATTCAATTTGCTTGCAATTTCATACTGACTCACTAAATTAAAGTCAAAGAAATGTGCGATTAAGAAGAGTTCTCTGTTTTGGGGTATGACGCCGTGTAGTCTGTTGAAAGTCTGCTGGTGTTTTGGAGGAATATGTCTTCTTCATTTTCAGGGTCAAAAAATAAGCCAAGTAAGAAACCAGCATGAAGCAGGTAGCAAGCAGAGTAATAGACTACATGGCATTATATCCCAAAAGATAGAACTTCTTCATAATCACCACTCTGAGAACCGCAAATCCTGCAGATGTATGATTGTTGTGATGTATGATCTGGCAGCTGTTCTGTCGACTACAGGATCATTTGAAATTACCTCTCATTTGTCCCATAAACAATTCCTATCATTACTGGTAAATAGTGACACTAACCCCATTATCTGAACAAAGTCCCTATTAATTTGTAAGTCCTCAGCATTATGCAGAAAAGTAACTGCTTTTACTACATGTAAGGCCTCAACCCACTGCAATATACAGTCTGTAATATTCCTTCAGCAGTGCTGTAGTATGCTGAGTTGTAAAAAATGTACAGTGTAACAAATTATTTATTCCGTATTTACAATTGTTGATCATGATGGCCGCGCAGTGTAAGACATGAACTGTCTTTGCCCACTCGAACACTGGGGTTATGGGTTCGAATCCCACTCAAGGCATGGATTTTATATATGATTTATTCTGTGTGTAGGTAGTGGCTTTGTGATGGGTTGATCCCCTGTCCAAGTAGTCCTACAGACTGTGTATATGATGAAGAAACTGAAAAAGTGGCCAGGGTCCAAAAGGCTGTGTAGGCAGAGAGAGAGAGAGAGTATTTACAATTACAAGCAGTAAAAAGATGCTACTTTCAGTAGGATTTGAACCAATGAACATTAGCACACAAGTCCAGCATGCTAACCCTTGAACTAAATTGCATTTTATTGTAGAATTTCAAATTTTCCCAACCAAAGTATGACATTAACAAAAGTTTTTTTATAACTCAGAATCTGTGTGAAAGAGAAATAGGCTCTACATGTTCTATCAGAACTTGTTATCGTGAAGAATACATTCTTCTGGATTGTAACACCATGTAGTTCTAGAGAAATATGAGTATATCACCATCTTGAGGGTCAAGTAGTGAACCAGGCAAGAAACCATCAAGAAGCAGATGGCACTACTTGTGACTTGTCACCTGCTTCCTGCTGGTTTCTCACTTGGCTTACATTTTGACCTGAAGAGGGAGGCAATATGTTCCTTCGAATCATTGAGCTGGTTCTGAGGTACACATCATTACAACCCAAAAGAATGCAGATTTCTTATACATGCTCATGAAACCTCTTTGTCTCATTAAATTTTGTTCAATATATTCAGGCATGTGGTAGCATAGCTGGTTAAAGCACTATGCTACAAGCTGGATGGTTGTGGGTTCAATTCCTGATGAGGTCATTTGATTTATCAGTTGACCCAATCCTTTCAGCCACATTATGGCCCTGGGGTTGACTCAGGATCTAACAGAAATGAGTACTAGGAATTTTTAATCACAGATTTTTACTGAGCAATGCTGGCAAGGGTACACAACAAGGCAGAATGTGTTACTAATATTTCTTCCCACAGGAATGTGAAGCCACTAGTGGCACAGCTGATGCGTATACATGTAGTAACGCCAAAAGCACCAATCCATGTTACGCTGAATCCCCGGGTACAGCCGGCTCCATCACCGTGCCCAGTATTTGTTACAGGCTGTGAGCAACCTTTGAGACTCTCACAGAGTGCATACTGGGTTCTTCGCCTTCCGTATCCTTTGTCAATTCCAGTTGTGTTTATGGACTTACTTATTTGCAGGATCAAGTAGATGTGGACAGTTGTAACACTGGGTGATGGTACTTTGTTGTGGCAGGCCTCCTATTTTTTTTATTGATGGTAGTCACCATCTTCAGTGAGAAATACTGCTTCTTACCCAAAAATGAAAACAAATAACTCAAAGCATGAAGATATATGAAGAGCATTACATGTAACAGATGGAACTGAAGGATCACCAGACAGAATATTTGGAACATGCAGAAGAAAAAGAAAATATCCATATCGTCTTTCTTCAGCAGTCAACTGACTGAAGAACGGATTCAGTATATCATTAACTTAGTGGTCAGACTTATCAAATACATGTTCTAGTTCATCATAGAATCTGTCCTTTATGTCATCAATTTTGTCTTCTGTTGTGGCATTTACATTCAGAACAGTGATATGACACCGGTGACCTCTTAGTATTATATATGACATCCTATCACTAATGAACTCTACCCTCCCAATTGTTGATATGATTCTCTTATGTACAAAAAATCTGTACTGAATTCATGCTTTTCATTCCCCTTTCCATAGAAAAATGTATATTCGCCTGCTGGTTCGATGCCACCTCCGTCGCATCTGACCTGTACCCGCACTAAATCTAACTTATATTTTAAGATTTCTTCTGCCACTGCCCTAAGCGAACCTGCTCTATTCATACTTCTAACATTCCAAGTACTGAATCTCATGTCCATTTTCTTTAGCCTAGGCCATTTATCCAGAGGATCCATCCAGGTCCAAGGCTTCTTGAGAATTTTCGTAACTAGCTTGTTTTTTATGGTGAGGAGTTGTTAGCCCCATGACCAACCCCCAAGCTGGAGGACCACCCCTTGCCATCTGTCCATGGCTGCATATTCAGTATATTCACAGCTTCCCTCCAAATCTAGAGGGCATCTCCTCCATCCACAACCTGAGGACATGCCATGCCATGGTGACAAGGGACCCACCTAACATGGATTGTCACATGTATGAGTTACTATAAGCTGAGTTTGGAATTTATTGAAAGCTTACAGATGATAACTACAAATAACTGTAGCGCTATCACTAATTCACACACTTTGCAGTTCGCTACAGCATGTACTAAGTCTTCTCAGTCTGCTGTGTCTTATCCAGTTATTGCCTGGGGACAGATCCCGATGATATCCCATGCTTCCATGTTCATATTATTTCTGGCTGACAGCTGTCCCACAACTAGTCATTGCTCCAACTGTCCTGCTTATAAGATCTCCTAACAGACTGCGTAGAAGTCACCATTCCTCTGTTGTGTTCGTGTCTGTTGGTATGCCCACATGTCACTACTCGGCGGTTGTTTACAGAGCCATTACTTGGCAATGGCTGTTGTATAGCTGTTATTTTGTGGTCGTTGCCTAGCAGTGGGTCTACATGCCAAATAATCATTGTTCTGTGTACATCTTAAGTCACTTCCACCATCAACTCTTTCATTTAGCAGGCTCTCTCATAATGATGAGCTGGTCTGTGTGGTTTATGCTGCACTAGAATTAATATTCTCAGTTGCTTCTTTATATGATATGCCATTTATACTCATTAATGGCTCATGTTTGGCATGTTAACTTCATATGGCTGCAAAAAGTCATCTGTTAGCTTTGACATCTCTGTGCCAGCTTGTCCTTATGTAACAATTCAAGAACCACTGAATGGATTTTTGTTAAAGTTTGTCAGCACATTCTAATTTCCATTAAAATCAAACAACATTAATGAACACTTTATATATAAAGGTACACATGTTTTTGCTTGCAGCTCGAGCATAGCTCACTAAATGTTATTTCTCAGAATGAAACATATTTTGAACAAGAGTTGTACAAAAATGAAACACATTTTATGCCAAATTCACTTTTTCTGAATGTCTTATGATTTGTTGAACAGTTAAACAGAACAGAATGAATGCATGCTGTTTGTACATTTCCCAGTGTGCTTCTTGTCCGCCACACACATAGTTGTCTATGAAACATGAACAGCTACAGTGTACTAAATTTTCTTATTGGAGAGTTAGTATTGGAATTATGCTTGATGGACAGAACCTCAGCTCCAGTGGACATGAAGGAATCAGTTTTATTCCTACTGCTGGTTCCATAAAAGTACATGAGTTTTATGCACAAAACATGGTTGAGTAGTAGTCATCTAGCACAGAGTGACTGATATTAACTAAAATTTTTGTTATGACTTTTAAGCATCTGAAAGTTCTAAGTAAGTTATTACTTATAAGCAGGGCCTGGATTTTGATGACCTGAAAATATTTAAAAAATGACCTACAAAATCCAGAAAAATTACCTAAAATATGACACAAAAATGTAACATGCAGGGCCCAGATTTTGATGACCTGAAAATATTTAAAAAAAATGACCGAAAAATCCAGAAAAATGACCTAAAGGAGAAAGAGAAAGAACATTTCACTTCCATATTATTCACATTTCAGAAAACATATGAGGAAAAATTCCCTAAAATGACCAAAAATGACAAGAAATACCCTTAAAAGTCCAAAAAATTACCTATAAAATATACATTTCTGTAATCAGCAACTCATATCCGAGATTTATATATTTAAGAGCATCGCATAGGATACAAAGAAAAAAAGATGACATGTCATCAAAACTGGGCCCTGCTTATAAGATATTTGTTTTTCATGGCTTTGAAGATTAATATTGTGGTTTTCTGCTATCTGGTAGGTGATATCAGACATTTCAAGGGAACATACTGCCTCCATCTTCAGGTTAGAAGATGGAGACAATAGGTTTCTCCAGAGTGTTCATACTGTCAATGCGTAGGGTGGTATGCATGATGAGAATGACAGGTTCTACTTCAGATGATTGGTTTTATTGGCATTTTGGATACAGTCTCTCTTAATCACAATTAAATACAGGCAGTACAGTGCTTTTTCTGGTTTACAAACTTTATACTTCACTGTTATACACACACTAGTCCTCTCTTGGTAATGCACTTAAAACACAGGAACTACCGGTTCAAATCATTCCAAATATTACACATGAATAAAATCTTCCAATCACACTTTAAATCTTCACAAGCCAACGAACTTTCCATGGCTGTCTCCTTCCAAGAACTCAGAACTTTGCCACTCACTGTCACTGTCACTTCTAGTTCCAGTTTGCTCTATTCATGGGCTTCCGCTGCTATTATCTCTCTCATAACTCGTAACTAGTAACTGTACCTCATAAGTGTTCTCATAGCTGTTCCTTGTAACTATCCCCATCATTTTTCTCATAACTCTGTCACTCTCTAACTCTACTTCTAGTTCACTCTGAACTTGTGGCTCACATCTCTTGTTATATAGCTGCGGCACAAACTACACAGAAATCACAGTTCTACTGTTGGATAAGACAGACAACAGAGAAAGTGAGTCATGTGATATTTACCTTGCCAGTCCATTGGCGCTGACTGTTGCCTAGCAACAAGCTGTAAACATTTGTTCACTGAGATACAGCTTCTATTGTTGTGTAGTGTACCATGTTTACAGAGCTGCTGCCTGGCAACGCATTGCTCAAATCCGTTACAATACCATTCTACCAGATTACATGATGTCACATCCGAGGTCATAATCGTAGCATTCACTGATGTGAGCACCTCATATCTTGGTTGCGAAAGTCACGGGAGAGTGCTTTTATATTGCCTGTTGCATGTTAAAGTTATAATCATTAGATTTCCCCTGTACAACCCATTATTAAAGCATGAGATCAACGAAAGTCCAGAAGTTGTTACCTAAAAACAATATATTGGGAATTGCTTATAAAAAATGGTGTCCTTGGATGTCCTTAACTCTGTTACAGATCTGTATATGTGGGTGAACATGGTCCATATGTAACACCCAAACAGCCAGTACCACTAAGCTATGGTCGTCTGTTGGCAGGAGTATATGGCATCACAGAAGTGCAGGTGGCAGAAGAGAAGTAAAGCCATGTTGTTACGTGAAGAGTGCATGATTAATGATGTGTTACACTTACAGGTGGTTAGGTAAATAAGTCCACATGAAGATAACTTACGTATTATATACCAAGCTCTTCATTTCAGGATAATGTAATGGAGGGTGCAGATATAATTGAACACTTTCAAGTGCTGATATGTCAGTTTCTGGATGAGATTATTGTTGTAAACCATGAGGAAGTTATTTTTGACTCTACGAGATTTGAGGTTTTCACAGTGGTGACTTCTGGGGTGTGACACTATGCAGTCTTGTAGATGTCTATTGATGCTCAGGAGGAACATAACATCTTCATGATTTGGTTCTTAAATAAGTATAGAAACAATGTTACCTGTTCTTTTTGCAATTTTTCCTTCAGTATTACAATTTTGAGAATAATTAAACAAATGTGCCACCACTGTTACACATATGCACACATGTCCTTACTTATTATATTTCTGTTAACATTGCAAGCATAATTTTTATATGTTGAGCTGGTCCTTGGGGCGTATGTCATGTGGTGATCAGTTTTTGCAGGGCCCCAAAATAGTCTGAAATAATTAAAATAAATCTGATGAGTTATGTACCACAAAGAAATGTTTTCATGAAAGGTTAAAGACAAGATATACAAAAATATGCTCCCTGTTGTCTTTCTGGACTGATATTATACTTATAGAATGTGGGAATTAAAACTAGTTCCTTGTTGGGAAATAAAAAATATTGACATATTTAACACAATAACTCACAATGAAAGGTGTTTATCATTGCATTATGTGTCTGCAGTAAGAGGACTCACCAGGCACTGGTATTGTACATTCACCTGGAGCCATACACAAAAGAAACTGAGTCCTTTAAAGATTGAATCCCTTCTAAATCTATATAAATAAAAACATAACTGTTGGTTTGGCTCTCCTTGAAGATCTCTGAAAGTTCTTCACCGATTGCTTCGAAATTTTGACACAATGTTGCATCTGAACACGCGCGTGTTTTTATATGCCTGTTATGTAGATGTCACACCCGTGACAGATAAAAACAGGTAAAAGTATTAATTATACGTCGTCCATCGAATACCAACAGATCGTTGCCTAGGAATAACCATGGCAATGAACTGTTGAAACAGCGGGTCATTGCCTAGGAATAACCATGGCAACGAACTGTTGAAACAGCGGGTCGTTGCCTTGGAATAAATGTCGCAACGAACTGTTGAAACAGCACATCGTTGCCTTGGAATAACTGTGGCAACGAACTGTTGAAACAGCGGAAATAATGCATTTCTGCGGCAACGAGCACAGAACACGTGAAATGGAACCCTGGGCGAAAGTGCCCTCTATTGTGTCCAAAACCGGGTTATAATAGTCCAGCTCCGAAGAAATTTTTGGTGATACTGGACGTGATAATAGTTGTGCTCGCTGGTATAAAAGTGAGCGTTCAATAACTTATTCGCTGAATCCAAGACGTGTGTGGAAGTTATTTCGTAAGTATAGTTTATTTTTCATTGTTTTTCTTTTCGTTTTCTAAGAACAAGCTTAGGTCATCGTACTCACGGAGCAGAAGCAATGTGTCAAGTAATTTCAAATCAAACTGGGGAAGAACGGGCAGACTGAGCCAGAGCAAGGCGTGGCTGGGCACAGCTAGTAATATATAAATATGCAATTTGTACCTCATATGAAACACATTACTTCTTTGCTATATAGATCAACAAGGTAATGCTATTTATGGAAACAGTCTCTTTTTATTGTGAGAACAGTATGAAGCAAACACAACCTGTCTGGGCAGAATGCCCAGTCTTGGTATCCTGAAGCAGGTGATACATATGGAACCTCAGGGCTTTAAATGAATTAAGAAAGTTATTTTGAACATGAATATGGAATTCTTGTATATCACATAAGTATTTTTCAAATACATATATGGGCATTGTTGACTGTTTTTAAAACAGTCTGCACTAACACAATCAAGGTAAATTTTTCTTGTTATAATGCCTGAACAAGGGGCCTGAGGCACGGGAGCAATTATGTTGTTATTTGTTATGTGTATAATAGTGTGACATGCCTGCTGAAAGCCAAGATAGCAGAACTAGAGTAGATGGCCGTTGCTAGGCAATGGCTCTATAAACATGCTTCCACAGCAACCAGATATGCACCCAGCAGTAGAAGAACTGTTGTAAGCTGTGTGTTCTGTGGGATCTGCCTTGAGGATTTATGATGAGGCCCTCAACCTGGTTGCACCAGTCCCAGTCAGTCTTGAGTCTGAGGTGGTTGTGAGAGAGTCATCTTCTTGTGGAGGCGTGGGCACGGAGACAGGAATCTGTATTGTTGGAAACCGTTACATAGCAACTCCTTGACAAGACACAGAAGGCTGTATGTGTGCTGCAGTATAGTGACTACTACTTCTTATTATTATTATTATTATTATTATTATTAACAATAATAATTACATTCCATTAATCCATACAAGGTCAAATGACCTATAGGATATAGAAACTGTCATTATAAA